ATGCCTGCCACTGCCTTCTCTGCCAATCCTCTGGTCTCGCTGGCCGCGCAGGTGAGCGGAGCCCTCGCCGCGCCCGCCACTACATCGCAGGCTCTCGTCTCATCCGAGCCAACTGCCCAAGCCGCGCCTCCAGCAGCCAAGGCTGGCTCGGCGACCTCTGCCGCCTCGCCCACTTCGCCTGGAAAGGGCAAGACCGAGAGCGACGCGGGTGGGCCCAAACTGCACGAGTGCGAGACGTGCGGCAAGTCCTTCAGTCGAAGGTCGGATCTTGCACGTCACCGCCGTATTCACACTGGCGAGCGTCCTTACCCGTGCGACTACCCGGGCTGCGGCAAGAGCTTCATCCAGCGATCCGCACTCACCGTCCACTCGCGCGTCCACTCGGGCGAGCGCCCGCACAAGTGCGAGTTTGAAGGATGCGACAAGAGCTTCTCGGACAGCAGCTCGCTCGCACGACACCGCCGAACGCACACAGGAAGGCGACCGTACGTGTGCGACTTTCCCAAGTGCGGCAAGATGTTCACGCGTCGCACCACGCTCAACCGCCACTCGCGTTGTCACCAGCCCGGCTACGTGAAGCCCAAGAGCCGCGGTAAGGGCCGTGGCAAGGGCAAGAAGTCGGGCGCCGAAGGCGATGCCAATGCGGGCGATGATGACGATGACGATGATGAGGACGACGACGATGAAGACGACGAGGACGAAGACAGCGAGGACGATGAGGAGGACGAGGATTCGGAGGCCGAGTCTGGATCCGGATCCGAGCCAGCCGAGTCGGTCACGCCGCCCGAAACCTCTGCGCAAGTGGCCAAGGGCGCCAAGCGTGCTGCACCGGGCCGTGGACGCAAGAACTCAAACGCCAAAAAGGCCAACACTGGCAACGCCGCCGGTGTGGTCAACCGCATGAACCGCTCTGCGAGCGATGCGGAGGCTGCCATGACGCTGGCTCAGGCCGCCCTGCAGGCACAGTTCAATCCCTACTACGCTGAGCAGATCAACGCTCCTGGCGCGGATGCACCTTCGTCCAACGCAACCAGCAGCATGCCCTGGTCCTACCCCATGTCGGCCCAGGACGGAACGGCGGCACTGCTCGCCGCAAGCAACCATTCGAGCTTCTCGCCGGGCATGGGCTCGAACGACTCGAACGAGGCGATGGAGGCTGCTGCTGCTGTTCTCGGCGGCTTTGCCAACTCACCAAGCGCCACGAGCAACGGCGCCGATGCGGCACACGCGAGCTCGCTCTCGGAAGCACAGCTGCTGCTCGACGCCGCCATGAGCCCCGTGTCGAAGCACGCCACCATTCCGGGTGCCTCGGACGCCAACAAGGGCGCCGCCGCGCGCGGTCGTGGTCGTGGGCGCGGTCGTGGAGCTCAAGCTGGCGGTCGGAGCAGCCGTCCCAGCAACCTGTCGACCGCCACGGGTGCAGAATCGTCCGAAGGCGCGTCGGATGAGACGCCTGCTGCTGAGCCTTCGTCCTAATCGCCCTTCACCTCCTTCTACCTCTCGTCATCTTCGGGCCTCGTTCTCCAGTTCCCTTGTATTCTTTCTGTTACGTTTTCCTCGCAATCGTCCCTCGACCTCTCAACTCTCCCTCACCCGTCTTGTGTTCAAGACGGTGTACTTGTATCCGCCTTTTTCCCACTTTTCTTACTGTTTGTTCTTCTCATCGCACGAATTTCTGTCCTTTCCACTGTCGTGGATTGCGTCAGGCCTGTAATCCATAGATTCGATTGAAGTCTGCTTTGCCGTGTAAGACGGTGAGATGAAGGTGGGATGAGTGGGATGAGATGGCGATGTGGTTGCGGCGCGGTGCAGTGTGGGATCGGGCGATGCAGTCGTGTGGAGATTTTCGCGTCTGCCAACGGCGCGCGTGGAGCCAGGGGCTGAAAAGGTGTCAAGACCCTAATCGCTTCTCGTTCCTTCCTTCATCCCTCATCGCGACACCTCGGCACCTCCTTCCTTGCCTCCTGCTGCGCCACCGCCACAACCATCCCTCGTCGCAACTCATTGCCATCCTCTGCGGAGCCATCACGACCTCGAAACTCTGTCCTTCTCTTCACTCTGCTGGCGCCGCGACCGTCTCACCACAGGTCGATACTGTCGTTGCGACGTCTCATCTACGACGCGAATCACAGCGCACGTCCTTTCCACGCTCTGTTTACGTGACCGATTCCATTCACCATGGCGAGCGGGAGCAAGTACGAAGAGCTCATCGCCGAGGACGTGGCATACCACAAAGCTTCGACGCCGCTGGAAGACATGCCGAGCTGCACGAACATGTTTGACAAGTGGGCGCAGTGTTTTGCGCTCGGCCCGCAGATCAAGGCGGTGTACCGGTACGGCGGCCTGCAGGACTGCAGAGACAAGCTGGACGACTTCAAGTTCTGTTTGACCATGAAGGGCATGTCGCCGGAAGAAAAATACGAGACGTGGATCCGAAGAAAGGCTGAAAAGACGGCAAGCCAACGACTCGGCAGGGAGAGCTCAGAGAACGTGTGGCAGATCAGAAGGTATGTCTCTCTCTAGCGCCTCGATTATGCCACCGAGGAACCTAGCTGACGTTGATAGAGGGTAGAGATCCGAACGTTGCAGTCAAGACCAAAGGCGAGACAGGGACGATTGTATGATTTTGCATCCTCAAGAACTTGTGTGCAGCAGGCATGGCCGACCTCGACCATGTCGCTGCACTTTATCCACTGTGAGCACCATGTGAAGTGTCGCGGCATTGGTCCACATTTGGCCGTACACACGTGGGGGTCCCGACGGGCTTGTCGATGCTACACTCGCACTTGCAGCTCACCGAGTCTGCCATCCTTTTCTCCCCCCTACAGAAGGTGCCGACGACAGACCTACACACCTCGCGCTTTCTGATCTGCATTGCTAGTGCTGGCTATCCAGTGCACCTTTGCGACTGGGGCTTGCACACACACGATCCGGCGCACACGAGATGGAGACGCTAGGGAAACCCGCACCAACGCCGCATCCAACCCGCCTTCGATCTTCCGCCCGCCGCTGCTCGGCCTGACCTTGACCCGCGCGTCTATCCCGCCTGCTTTCTTCGGGGAAATGGCAGGGTGGGCGCAGTGGGGTCGGTTGGACCTGGGTAGCGGTAGTGCCACAGGCGCTTTAAAGCGGTAGTAGACGATCCTAACCCTAAGTTGATTCGCGCCGAGCCCGGCTCTTCCCTTGTGCGACCGACCTTCGCTCACAGGTTTCCTCAGGGGGACCTAGAGAGTGTTGCTGGACTGCCAGGGGAAGGGTCGGAGTACCAGAGCCTGGTTGCTCTGCTCTGTGCAGCAGAAACACTGGGGGCAAAGACAGCCGCTACGGTGGTCGCGTCTCGATCCAAGTGCCCCCGCGGTTACTGTCGACTCTGATACGCATGCTCTGGCTTAGGTCGAGGACGCTGTTTTGTGCAGCGCCGTGCTCCGCAAAGTTTGTGCTTTGGTTTCGCCTGCTGGTAAAGGACGGCGGCACGGTCTTACCTCGATTCAAAACCACGGTTGCCCAGGCTGCAGGGGTTTGGTTGTTCTGTTCTTCTTGCCACCCTGTCATTCGGCCTTCAAGGAAGAACGGATGCCCGTTGGTGGGACTCCCCTCTCCACTCGCGCTGGATCATTGTGCCCGCGCCAGGCTGCTGGGGTTTTTTTTAGCAGAATAGCGGGTTGTGGTTCTTGAGGCACCTTTACCCTCGTTGGTTGTTGGCTCACTGCGGTTCGGGTCGGTGCAGGAGAAGGGGTGGAACACTGCTCTGCGGAGGTAAGAGGGCGCTGGGTACCCAACCCGCCCCCTCGAGTGTATCAGAGCTTCGTGCTCGACTGAACCCCTTTGCTTGCACCACGCCGATCGCGCAGTCGACTACCACCATACGACTAATTTTTTCCCCCTTGCGACGCACGAGACGGTCCACCACGGAAGCGATGGGTTCCAACAACCTACGCTCGCTCTCGTGCGTCACACTCACACTGCAATGCACGCATCAAGTCGTCTGAACAAGGTATTGCGCATCTGCTAATGGTACATTTTCTTCCCCCTCGGGGGGGACACTTAGTGCTGCTCATCGTCGCCGGGAATGTGGTCGAGCTCATCGAGCTGCTGGAGCGCCTTGCGAATCAGCTCCACGCCCCTCTCGAGATCCTTCTCGTCAATCACCAGAGGCGGGGCGAGACGGATGATGTTGACGTGAGTCGGCTTGGCCAGCAGACCCAAATGCTTGAGCAGCAAGCAGAGCTGCCACGCGCTCCTGCCTTTGGTCGACTTTGTCTCGTCGATGACAATGGCGTTGAGCAGACCCCTGCCGCGGACACTGGCAAGCAAGGGGTGGTCGATCTGCATGAGTTGCTGGCGGAACTTTTCGCCAAGCTCCTCTGCGCGCTCGGAAAGCTTTTCGTTGACCAGCACGTCGATGGCAGCGCTGGCGACGGCGCATCCGAGCGGGTTGCCGCCGTACGTCGAACCATGCTCGCCCGGCTTGATGCACAGCATCACCTCGCGATCAGCCAGAACGGCCGAGACCGGGTAGACGCCGCCCGAGAGCGCCTTGCCGAGCGTGACAATGTCCGGGCGCACGCCGTCGTGCTGGTGGCAGAGCATCTTGCCCGTCCTGCCGAGCCCGGTCTGGATCTCGTCGCAGATGAAGAGCACGTTGTGCTTGCGGCACAGCTGCTCGACGCGCTTGAGGTATCCATCGCTGGGCACGACAATGCCCGCCTCGCCCTGGATAGGCTCCACGAGGAACGCGGCGACCTCGTGACCGTACTTGTCGAGCACCTTTTCGAGGTCGTCTGCATTGTCGTAGCGGATGTGCATGTCATCGACGCCCGGACCGACGCGGTCGAGGAAGGGACCGAAACCGGTGCGCGACTCGGGGTCGGTGGACATGGAGATGACGCCGAGGGTGCGGCCGTGGAAGTTGCCTGCGACCGAGAGCAGACGCGCCTTGCCCTCGGGGATGCCCTTCTTCATGTAGCCCCACTTGCGCGCGAGCTTGAGCGCGGTCTCGACCGCCTCGGCGCCCGTGTTCATGGGAAGCACCATCTCGTATCCAAACGTCTTGGTGACCTTTTCGGCAAAGGGCGCAAAGGCCGAGTTGTAGAAGGCGCGCGAGCTGAGCGTGAGCTTCTGCGCCTGCGCCACGAGCGCGCCCACAATGTCCGGGTGGCAGTGGCCCTGGTTGACCGCACTGTAGGCGGAGAGGAAGTCGAGGTACTGACGTCCCTCGGGATCCCAGACGTGGGCGCCCTGCGCGCGGTCAAAGACGACAGGCAGCGGGTGGTAGTTGTGCGCGCCGTACTCGGCTTCCTTGTGGATGGTCTCCTCGGTGGAGAGCGTGTTGGCCGAGGTGGAGGCGGCCGACTGGACGGCCTTGACGGCGGTCTTGAGCGTGGCGGGGACCGCGGCCGCAGCGGCGGTGGCGGCGGCGGCAACGCCAGCAGTAGCAGTGGGCGCCATGATGTCAATGGATGTGGAGAGTAGAAGATCAGGTCAGATACTCTGAGATGGATCGGATGGTAGTTGGCAGTACAGTCGTTGGCGGGAAGATGGGAAAGCTACAAGGGCAGGGCTAGGTTTATATGTGTTTCTGGTGCGGTATCAGCGAGGAGGGCCAGCAGCAGATTTTGCTCAGCTTGCGAGGGCAGGGCAGACTGGCTCACGGGGGAGGCGATCCGGTTGCTTGTCCGGCAATCAAGAGTGAGGATGCTGTTGGTGCGGGCGGCGAGGAGGAGGAGGAGGAGGAGGAGG